TGTCAAGTTTGAACTTAATGCCAGCGAGAGGAGGAGGGGGAAGGCTGGGAGAGAGGAGCATAAAGCACAGATAATGGAAAGATAGGGGATAATAAATAGATGATGGGGTTCAATTTTAGCCATAAATTACACATAAATACCGAGTAAAATCAGCAGGGAGGTATTTCCAGACCAGACTGCGTTGAATCGGGTCAAATCTTTAATTATTGGCTCATTTGTAGGAATTTTTCTCATTTCTTGGCCTTTAAATTATGAACATTTTGTGTTTTCTTTATCTCTGATAAAATGTGTGGGGATTTTTATTTTTTTCAATATTTCTGTGAATAATTGGATGTGGTGAGAATCAGTATGTACTTTAAATATTTTCAGAAATAAATGCAATAAATTAAATGTGCCTTTATCTCACCCATATCTTGAAATCTTACAATAAAGCAATACATTTTTAAAAAGAAAAAAAAAGATCATTTAAAAATATTTCTGATTAATTAATTAAAACATGTAACATTTTCTTGCAGGATAAAAATTACTTCAAATTTATTTCACAATCAAAATAATTTCATGATTTGAGGTTACCAAACAAAAAAACATTTTTTTTCCCACAATGGCAACAAACGGTTAATGTTTGATAATTAAAACATATTTAAGCTCTGAAGCTTTGAGGAAACGTCAGAAATACCAAGAAAGCGTCTAAGAAATAAGACAGAAACAATCCAAGGTGTTTTATTATAACACTGCAGCTTTAATAACAAAACCTAGTTTGGATAAAGGCCTTATGACGACACATTTTAATAAAAATCTGTTACAGCTGAAAGAAAAAGAAGATTTTTCTGCTTTGTGTTCATGCAGTAAAAAAATCTTCAAAACCAAGGTCTGGAAATCTACACCAGCAGGTGATTATCAATCATCAATCAATCAAATTTTATTTGTATAGCACATTTCAGCAGCAAGGCATTTCAAAGTGCTTTACATAATTAAAATAAAAACAGCATGTGAGAAAGAGTTTTAAAAAAAAAACATCATTAAAACGCAAACAGTGAGAAAGAGAAATAAAAAGCTGTCTCCAACCCTTTTGACTTTAGTCAAACGCCAACGATAAACGATTATCGAGAGTTTTAGACAAAAATCCGTCCATTAGCTTTGGGAAACTTGCTTGAAGGTAAAACTCGTTTGTCTTCCAGCCGGACCAGAACCTGGAGCTCATGTCTGAGGTTAGAGGAGGAAAACATGAGCAGTTTTAGCAGTAATGACCTACATCCACTGAGAGCAAACAGAGAGCTGGACTCCGAGTCCAAACACGCTCAGCAGCAGCCAAACAGAAACGACAGCACCTCGTTTTTTAGCTCAGGTTGGACGTTTTAAAGAACATCTTCAAATACGTGGTTGATTTCCCCTTATCTTTGAAAATACTGCAGGCTTAAACAGTTTCATTATTTCTGTTAAACACGTTTTCATTTGGTCACCAAAACATAAATATCATAGTGATACAAGTCTGATGATGAGAATGATTTTCGTTCGAATTTGTTGTAAATTAAAAAGTTGACCTGTGTTGAATTGGAGCGTTATTAAAATTTGATTTGGTTTAGTGGTGCACTTTTCATGAGGTCCAGATTATGATGGGGAGTGTAAACGGTTCGCTGGAGGGTTTTAAAAAGAGTCCGTTTCTGTTTTCACCCTAAAAACGACGTTTCAGCTGCAGCTGCAGCAGAAACAGTGAAAAAGTATCTGCATCCCTTCAGATCCTTCATATTTCGTCAGGCTACAGCAACTAACATTATAAAGCACATAACTGTGATGGTTTTTAAAAGTTTTCAACAATCTGAAAAGTGTGGTGTGCATTAATAATACATGAAAACAGAATAAACATAAGAATCAAATGATCAGTGCCTGGATAGTTGATTATCTAGAAAGCAGACATTTATGTTAGAAGATCATTTAAAGGCTTCCTGATATTTTATGCCAGTCGTGAGAAGAAGAAGAAGAAGAAGTTCTGACTGATTACGATAAATTTTATTCAGTGGCATCAGAGTAATAGGAGCTGAATGAACCACCAAATAATTATGTGGCTGTAATGTGAGAAAACAATAAAAGGTAAATTAAATGTTACATTTAATCATCTTCTGTCTACAGTTTGAAGGTAACAACCGTCTGTGCCTTCAGCCTGTAGATATATGGAGATTAAATTTAACACTAAAGGTATAAATGTTGATTTATCCCCATTAGTGTCGCTCTCAGGTAATCATAAACAAACTGTGGTGCAATACAGCACTGAAAACCTCCTGGTTATTCGTTTCTGAACTCTTCCTGGGTTAAAACATTAATATTGTTGTTTCTAAATTATTATGAACTTGTCTTCTTTGCATTATTTAAGCTCTGCATGTTTTTCCTTTTTTCCACAGTTTCTCATTTTCTGCAGATAAAAAAAAAAAATTTGCGTTGAATTGACAACGCTGTGCAGTTCATAGAATAAAAGAACAATGTTCATTTTACTCAAACATATAAATATAAACAATAAAATAACAGACACTGGTCACAGCTGTGCAATTGTTCTATGTGCAATATGAATATTTTGGTGTATTTTTATTATTGTTTTCTTCTTTATGTCATGTAAATAACCACCTGGAGGGACAATAAACTTTTTATCCGATCACATATGTTTGTTTTGAAACATCAGAGAAAGGAGACGTGATGCGTTGTTGGATTTGTAAACCTGTTCTGCTTTTTTAGAGTCTTTTGTCCAACTGGACTCAGCAGCTTGTGAAGACGCAGCAACACTCCTGATTCTCCACAAACACTTTTTGTTCCAAACAGCAAACAAAAGGCTCCATCAGGGCCTTTCGGAGCAGCTTAAAGGATCCGTCCAGGAACTCCAGCCTGCCGACGGACACACACGGCCCGACGTGAGGTTTATGCGGTGACGCAGGTATGACGGTGTGTACAGCACCGAGCCGAGCAGAAGCCGGGTTTAAATATATCCCCATGCAGCGGAAGGGAGAGATGGAAGATGGAGGCGGGAGAGGCAGAGGGGAGGAAAAAGAGAGTGAGGAGGAAGTATATGACTTTGGGGTGGGAGTAGGGGCTTGGGGATGGGGAGGGTGCCAGCTTGTTTTATTTCCGGTTGACAAGACTTTGCGCTCCCTTTCTCTCTGTCGCTCCCTCTCTCTTTCATACTCTGCTATTCTTTCTCTGCTGCCCCCTCCGCTCCCCCCTTCTCTGTTACTTTCCTGCGAGATGCGCCTTGGAGAAAAGAAAGGACATGACAAGTTCAAAGGTAAAAAGAACAGTGGTGGAAGATGCGTGCAGACACTCCACTTAAGCAAAGGAATTGCAATACTTGATTAAAAGTTTCTTGCTTGGCTACAAGTAAACATTGTGCAATACTTCCATCGGTTCATTTGGGATGCTTTTCCACGTAATGCTTTTGGGGTTATTTTGTGTTTAATTGATTGAAAGGAAACTTTCCCTGCTGTTGGAGGCTAATGACTTTTTAAAAAATATATTTATAAAACACTTTAAAACAGCCACAGCTGTTTTAAGCTACAAACATACAAATATTACACAAAAAGACCAAGAGTTAAACATGAAACAAACTAGGTCAAGTCGTGACCTGAGGGTCCAAAAAAGGTACGTAAGATTGAAGAAGCTCAGAGATTTGGTGGAGAAAGATCATTTAGATATTTAAAAGTGAAAATGAAATAAACTCTAAAATGCACAGGCAGGCAGTGGAGTGAGGCCAGATGTGATCAGAACAGTTCAGTTCTGGTTATAAAACACCAAAATACAAGACATTTCACCTAAACATCATCTATTTATGTCTAACTTCACTTCATATGAATTCCATTTCTCCTCAAATTAACTAAATTCAGTCAAATGTGATGCTAATTTAAGGAAATACAATCAAAGAAAGTTGATCATTTAATCCCAAAAGATAAAATGAAGTTTTGAAAAAAATCCTATTTTTATTTTAGTTACTATCTTAGTTATCCTTGGCTGCCTCTCTAAGGAGGATGGCAGAAATGAATCAATAAAAATGAGAAGCAGCAACAAAATGTGAGCCAGAAGTTCAAGGCCTTCGATCAGAGGAGTCAAACTATTGGAACCTATTGGGTAATAACCAGTTACATTTACTTCAGTGTGAAAGAAATTAATTTTAGGACTATTTTCACTACATTGTTCTTTGACTCATTTTATTATGAAGTATCTTTTCTCTTACTTGAGTAAAACGTCTGGATTTTCTACCCACTGAATGAAAAACAAACATGTTTTAACCAGAAATTCACCAAACACACACCTGCAGTTTTTGTTAAAGTTTCAAAAGTTTTTTATTGAAAAAAAAAAATAGATGTTGTTATTTTTTGTACTCATATAAATTATTGTCATTTTTGTCCTAATCATACCAAAATTTCCACTTAACTTTACATTTTGGTTCATCTGATGATTTAATTTTTAAATATTAATTAAATATTAAATATGTTTTGATCAGTTACTCAGTACTTGAGTAAACATTTTACAAAATACCTGAGTCATTCCTTGGAGACTACTTTTTACTTATCCTTGAGTAAAAACATGTTGAAGTAGTTCTGCTGCTACCTGAGTGTAATGTTTCAGTTCTTTCTGATGCATTTGTTGATTCAAATGCTGAATTTCCTCTGCGTGTCGTCAGGTTCTGCAGGATTTATCATTTCAGGTGTGCAGAACTAAGAAAACATCTAAAATATGCACTAGGAAACTTTCAACACTTACACTTATGTCACAGTCATAAAAAAATATTGTAAATTATTTCTCTTTTACCTGGAGAACAAAAAAAAAGGTAATATTAACGTCTAAAGTCATTTAACTGTTTGGGTTTATTACTTTACATTTTTAAAATCTATAAAAGGTTTTTAGTTTATTCCCAGCAATGAAAATAAGATTTTTCTTCTACAAACTTTGCTTTAGTTAGACTTATTATGAGATCAAAATAAAATGATAATATTTTTTTTTTTCCCCATTTCTTATTCTAAAAAAATTGCAAAAAGTGTCAGAGGGACAAACGTGCCATTCTTGAGTTGTGGCCACACAAAAATAACACAAAGGCCACGAATGGCCGCTCTTTGGACGCCCCTGCTCTATGTACGGGTAAATCCAGGAAAAATGTGATTAAAAAAAATCTCAACTACAATTATCACTGCTATAATCATTAATTATTAAATCAAGCAGTAGCGTTGCCTCAGGAAAACATTTGGGATGAATTTGTTCGTCCATGTTGTCGATTCTCATCCCAGTTTCTTCCCATTTTTCCCAGTTTGTAACCACATTTTGTATTTCTACCTTCCCATTTCATCTTCCTCTTCCTCCATTTCCCATCTGTAGTTAAATATCCATCCACTTAAACTGTATCAGCATATTCATTAATTATAAAGATAAATTGTCACAAAATTAGTGAAATCTCATAATTTAATGAAATTGTCAGTTTCTCCCATTTAAACCAGTTGAATTTTATGAATCAGAATAAAAATCCAGATCAAAACATCTCTAAGCTTCTGTTGTTCGATTTGTATTGGAGTCACATGAAAAACTTTTCCAAGTAGCGTAAAGAAGACTGGATTACATATTTCAGTGTGAAATTGGGTATGAAATGTCGCTCTATGGAGTACAAATGATGCAAAATATTCTCCACAAGACATTTAATGAAATGATCAAAACTACAATGATTTGGCTCCAGTCTCTGGTAATAAAGTGAAAAATGTAAAATAATCTAAACCAGTGGTTCTCCAACATTTTTTAACTATAAACGACAGAGATTTTCAAACAGGACATGAAAAAAAAATGACAAAATTTGTTCTTGTCCACTGCAATGTTTGATTTGCTGAAGCCTGCAGATAGTTTTTTTACTGAGAAATAAAAAAAATCAAGTTTAAATAAGTAAAAGTTGAATTTACATGTGAACAAATCAAAAGTTTCTCACCAATCTCATCCACTGAATCCAAGATGGCTGCCTTGCATCCAAAAGTTAACGGTAGCTTCTGTAAAACACATTAAATTTGCACATCTGATGAGTTGAATCTCATTAAATCTTTCCTTATATCCTCCTCTTTTACATAAACAGGTAAGTGCACAACTTTAAACCACAAAATGCAAAGGAACTGTTGTTAGCTGAATCGCTAACAGGGGTTAGCTTGCTCAGTGAGCACGTCAATAAGCAAATCCAACTGGTTTTCCAACCCATTTAGTTGGGTTTGGCTCTGTTACCAGAACCAAGTTACAGCTCATCTGTTCATGGACCCTTTAATCAAGCCTCGTTTAGAAAGGATGAGGAAAAACGGATCACTTCACCAATCAGAATCAAAGAAATGTCATTTTCAGACTGAATGTTTGAATCAAACTTTATCAGTAAAGCTCTTTTCATACAGTCAAATGTAACATAAAAAGCTTTGCGGGTTTATAAAAGCATTTAAAACCATAAATAGAGACCTATAAAAACATAAATATCAAACATTGACATCTGATATTGTTACAAACATGACAGGACTCAAAAGTCCTGTCGGCTATGAAAAATCTTACAAACACTCACAGTAACGAAAGACCAATGCAGGCAAACATTAATTACAACAGTCGAGACGAGCTGGACACTGACCATTGCTCTCCGTGGCTCCGTGGTTTATATTAAATAAACTGAAGTAATAATTTTATCTAGCAGTTAAAACGCTACAACAAAAAGATGCTAAAACTGTTAAACTAGAATTTAAATAAGATAATAAATCAAAGAGAATAATAAATATCTTAAACTGTTTGCTTTAAAAAGCAAAAAAACAAAATATTTATGAATAAATATCCTGATATTGGATTTTTATTGGTTGCTGGGGTGTACTTAGTTTGGCTACATGTGGCTCTGGAGCAGAAAGCGGCTTTTTGACTTTACACAATGGAAATCTCTCAATAACTTTGGATAATAATTACAAAAGAACCAACTAATGATTTTAAATATAGTTATTAGAATAAATGCAGGTTTAAGCAGTTTTTCAGTTTAAAATTTTTCACAGAATAATAGCATTGAATTTCCACAAAAGTATCAGTAATGTTCT